AATAATTAATTAAAGTAAAGCTTTTTATAAAGTAATATATAATACTTTTTATACACAATGGTTAAAAATACTATTTGTGATAGATGTGGTTTAAAACTTTCTACATATCAGAAGTATCAACAACATTTAAATCAATCAAATCCCTGTTGACCTAAAAATCCACCTATTCAAAACCCTCCTGAAAACCAACTCCAGCTTCTGAAGACGATCTTATATCATTTGATAAAAACCAGCCAACACACCAGCTGAGAGAGACAAACGTGCTGGCAGTCAACCTTTTAACTGATGATATTTCAAATATAGAAGCTAAACCAAGTTTTAATACCCAAGGAGAACAAAAAAAGAAATCAATTTTAATGATAGATGAATTAATAAAATGGTTATCAAAACCAGAAATAAAAAATAATAAAAAAATTAGATCAAAGCATATACCTAAAAATGATAAAGAATGGTATGATTTAATGGAAATAGATAATGAAAAAGATAGTGAACCAAGTGATTCAGAATATGATACTGCTGAAGAAGAACCAGATATTCATTTCGAAAAAATCAAGGATCTATACATCAATAGAATAGCAGAAGCCAGAAAATTTAATGAAGGTGAGGTATGTGATTATTATGCATTTGTACCAAAAGGATACTATGCTGAGGGCGAGCTATTAGCTTTCTTCGAATCAATTAAAGAAAAAATTGCAGATATTTATAAAAAAGAGTTAGCATTAAAAGGTGGATTAAAAGTAAGAATCGTGTTATATGCATATATGAAGAAAATTAAACCAGAAACTCCAGAACTTTTATATAAAACTTTTCCATTCAAGCATAAAACAATAGAAATTATTAGAGAAGATTGAATTAATGCAACAATAGAAAAAGGATATAACGAAATTATAGATCAAATAGAAGACGAGGCATTACAAGAATCTGGATGGTTATTTGCCCGAGCAGAAGAGGTATTTCTTGAAATAAGCGCATTCAGACTATTGCAAGGTAGTAGTTATCTACCTTTACCAGAAGCTTTAGATAAGCCACAACTAGGAATAATTAATCCACAAAATAGGGATGATAATGAGTATTTTAAATGGTGTATAAGTGCATATCACACAAGAGAGGAAGCAATAAAAGCTAATAGAAAGCCACTACATCTTAATGAAATCTGGAGACTTAGACGAAATGCAAATATGGCAAATTTTGAAGGTATAAAATTTCCAGCAACACTCCATGATATAGATAAATTTAAAGAAAGCAATCCTAATTATACTATCAATATATTTAAACTATTTTATAGAGAAGCTTTCAGAAAAATAAAAGTAGATATAGATCCATTACATATTTCAAAACGTAATTATCAAGTAGAGTATATGATCGATTTATTATATTTAATAGGTGAAGAGAGTTTAAATGATCGAAAAAATCAAAATGATATACCAGAAGGCTTAAAAACACATTATGTATATATAA